TAATATCAGCATTAGGGTGGTGCATAATTAAGGTTGTTTTAAAAAGTATTTGGATTTAAAGATAAAAATAGAGTTATCTTAACACTTCATCTAGTTATAAAAAGAGGTTGTTTCTGCAGATTAAAGTAACCCAGCAAAAATTTATACTGAAATATAATGAGTTAAAAAACTAAAAAAGCCGTTTTGTTCTACTTCTTCATTAGCCTCTAAACTCATTATTTTAACACGGCGATAACACTGAAGGCAAGTATTTACCACTCTCGCTTACACATAACTACTGAAATAAGTATTTACAAATAGGGAATTGAAAAGTAGTTTTGTTAGTATTCATCAGGCATGGGCGGGTAATGATTACACAAAGTAATTTATTACATGGTCAATTACAATTACTTGTAATGTGTAATGGAGTAATAACCAATTACAAATACTTGTAATTGTAATTGAAATTTTTCGAATTACAAATACTTGTAATTGTAATTGAAATTTTTCGAATTACAATTACTTGTAATGTGTAATTGACCAATAACCAATAACCAATTACAATTACTTGCAATGGTAATTGAAATTTTGCCAATTACAATTATTTGTAATTGTAATTAAAGTTTCCAATTAAAGTTACTTGTAATTGTCATCAAGGTATTGCTAGTTACAAATTACATATAATTATAAGGAACAAAATTCACAATTACAAGTAATTATAATTGGAAATTCTTCAATTACAAAACTTCAATTACCATTACAAATAATTGTAATTGGCAAAACTTCAATTACAAAGAATTGTAATTGTCAAAACTTCAATTACAAAGAATTGTAATTGTCAAAACTTCAATTACAACTACTTCAAATGTAATTGTAATTGAAAATGTAGTCATTACCCCCCAACACTGGTATTCATTGAGAAGAAACTACAAAGTCATTACCGAGTTTACTGCTGGTAGAGAATTAGATCTTTCTTACAGTAATTTAGAAAGGATATATAAATCCAGATTAAAGACAATCCAGAATTCTAGAACACACGATTATAGCCTGTTTCCATTCTATTCTGGCGTAGAAAACTCTAGTGGGGATGGGGTTTGTGCTGATGTTTGTAAAACAAAGAAATATTGGTTCCACATCCACCTTAGCTTGGCTCAGAATCATTCTCTAAGTTTTCTTATCCATGTCGATCTATATGTATGAATGCCTGTCTGCCTGTGTGTTTATATGTCTCTGCATCTGCTAGTCGGTATTTGTAATATAACAGCAAGTCGCAATGAATGTCTGTCTGTGTGTTTATATGTCTTTGTATATGATTGTCAGTCGGTCTTTGTAATATTACTTACATAAGGTCACAATTTTCAAGATAATATTTATAATCCTACACCACTTTAGTGGGGAGGGTATATCGGGTTTGTGCTGATGTTTGTAATGCACAATAATATTGGTCCTATATACCCACCTTAAATCGGTTTAGAATCATTTTCTGAGTCGATTTAGATATGTCCGTCTGTCCGTCCATGTAAACCTTGTAATCGAACTACAGGTCACAATTTTGATGATTACTCAATGAAATTTGGCACATAATCTTTTATGCTACCGGAGACGAAGCTTATTGAAAATTGTTAATATCGGTCCATTATTGCACCTAGCCCCCATACAACTGAACACGACGAATAGGGCTTTCAAGTTCATAATTATGTCTAATATACTCGTATTTCGACAAAAAGCTGCAAAACCAAGTTCTATACTAGCCGTGATGACTCTCATGAATTTTATAATTATAGGGTCTCATTTGACCATAGCCACTAAACAAAGCCCCCTTCAAAATTTGACTTAAATGTCCACAATTTTATTCAACAATAAGTATATCTGAGGCAAGGTACAATTCAACTTAAATGCTTTATTATGAAAACTAAATCACATTTTATTTTTGTAACAGGTGTAGGGTATTATATGGTCGGCCTCGCCCGACTATAATTTCTTACTTGTTTTAATTACGCTTCTTTTGTCTCAAGAATGAAGTGTTATTAATAATAATAGAAATCGATCCATTATTTCAGCAAGATTAATGATATTATTGAAATCGAAAGCTATTTTAGATCGATCTTAATGAAATTTCCTAAATCGAGTTGGATTCTTATACAACTCGTTGAAAATCAATTTTGAACTTTGGACTTTATGAATCAATTCACTTGCATTTATGTTAAATTTTGTTGTCATATATTAAGGTATACATCGGAAGTGATCTGGGGCAACTACAGATCGGTCTCAATTGAATTTAAAAGATTTAATAATTTCTTAAAAAGAGTTTCTTGTTGAATTTTATTTAGATAAAATTCAACAAGATATGAAGATGATTTTTTAACTTTAAATATATTTTCTTTAAAATTTTTAATATGAGGATTAGGTTCAATTATGACCGAACCTAAAGAAATGTTGTGTTTACGTTAAAATCAATCTTTGAAGAGTTGACTAATATGAGAGCTTGATTAAATATGGCCCTGTATCACCCACTACAGACGGACTGACATGATTTACAGTATAGGTTACGTTGCTATGACGTTGAATTCTATATCTGAAGAAATACATCCAGATCACTATCGGGTCATTTGTGCGCTCCTTTTCATGGAAAATATTTGTTGGTAACAAAAAAACGTTATATAGTGATCATTGAAGTTATTATTGTGTTCAGGAACTTTGTTTCCTGGATGTAATTTCTTAGAATTCTCCAATCGATATTCGTGATGGATGTTATACCAGGAATATTTTGATCAAAGATATTTGGATCTAATTTCGTTGAAAGCCTGAGAACGACAAAGTGCTCTAGAGTTTCACTGTACGAACCACATGCTGTACATTCGTCTGAATCCGCAGGGCCAATTATGTACAGTTGTGCACGTGATCATGGGTCTCTACTCTAAATACGTACCATCATACTAACATCAAAATTGCTTATTTTGAGGAGTCATATTATCCTGCTCTCCTTAGGGTCACAACATAAGATTTTTGTGATTCTATCCACCATTTCGTTATTCCCAGAGACCTTACGGTACTCTATCGTCCATATTTCGAACCTTGTTGCGACGAATGATTTTGTGTTCGTCAAGTTAACTACATCAAGTTCTCTGGCGTTGCAGACTACTCCCGAATGATCTGGTAAACATATGATGCAAAGCTTACCTCTGTAAGAGTATTCTGATATATCCTTAGACAGACATCTACCCGGATTAGGTAGGCGGTAGTATATTTCTATTTCTTAGTCTTTAAAATAGAAACCCAGGCACTTTCTGTCCCCCAGTTTAGAGACATTTGAGTAGCAACGATTTCCTATGGGTATTTGCTCTAATGAAATTCTATAAAGTGATAGTGACTTAGTTGGGGATATTTTAGAATAACAACTATAATATATACCACCCTAATGCCTTAACAAATATTAACTTTTTCACATCTACAACAAACCTTATGACACACAGTATTAAGAAGAAAACAACAATTTCATTTGAAACCGATATTACATTATGGTTTTGTTCACTTCTTGTAGGTTCGAATGTAAAAAATTTAAAATATGTATAATTTTCTCCCAATTCTTTAATACTTTCTCTCTACTGAGCCTGATTTGCAAACGAATTTAAAATTTTTATCAAAAATCAAAATGAAACCTTTTCCTATAATCAGATTTCCAATGTATTAAATATTATTTTTATTTCTTAAATATAAATCCTTTGTGCATTATTTGCAAATATCTAAAACAAAAATTATACATCTAAGAAATTTACAAAAATTTACATAAGTTTTTATTTTTCGTTAACATTTTTCAAGTTTTACTTTCATTCTATTCTTAAGTAACCTGACTACGTTCGTAAAGTATTTTTGTTAGAAAATTTCATTTTTTTCTGTTGAAGTTAAATTCAAATATCTCTAGTTTGCAAAAAAAAAAAAAATATTTTACAAATTTTTTTTTTATAGTTTTTATTTATAGTTGTTAGTTTCTATACTTAAACATTCTTCATACTTACATAGTTGTATTTGACGTAAATGTATACTAAAATGTACTTATACTGACATACTACGTATATGATAATAAATTCAAGAAAGCAGTTGTGAGGAAAATTATGGCGCTGTTTGTGATGTGTTAAAAAAATGTGTTTGAAATCATTTGGCCATAGACTTGATGTATTCGTGATCTTAACTCCCATTTGAATGAAATGGAAGACTATTTAACGACTTTAGACAACAGTTAAGATCAGAATAGGACAACAAATGTTCTATTTCCTTCTAATTAATAGTATTTTAATCGCGTTCTGTTTAAATTACTAGATCTGTATGTTCTTTCAAATACTTTTAGAGTAAATATCAAAAAATATAATATCATAGAAGTTAATCTATAATTAAAAGCCGCGATGTGGAGATGTACTAGTCAAACATCTCCAGAATTTCTAGGGCCCAAACTGATATAACTTTTCGATACTTTTTTTAATGATCAATATCAACCATTAAAGGAAGGAGTTCATGGAGTTCTATCATGCTTGTTATCTATGACCTCTTCAAGAGTCAACATAAAGAATCGTATACATCTGATTTGTATTTTTTCCCATTACAGATTCCAATCCCTTATCTTCTTCTTTAAGCGATTGGATTAGTCGATCGACTAAGATGCCTTACAAACTCTTATCAGCAGAACATTAAAGTCACAAGATTCAAGATCGTACGTGACTTCAGTGAGAGTAAATCTGTGGAAAAAGAGAGTAAGCTTTTCGAAATTAAAAAATGTAATGCATTATAAGCAATGGTATTGTAGGTTCACATAATAATACCTTATCCGCCATTGCTAGGGTAACTGGGTTCTTTAAGCGATTGGACAAGGCGAACGATGAGGATGCCTTGAGAACTTTTAGTCACAAGAGTCGAGATCGAACATTACTTCAATCCATACATCTCTATATGCCATTTGGTAGAATAACACTGTGTGTAGTCATGGAAATATAACCACTTTCGGATACCACTACATAATAAAAAACGAAAACAGAAAGCCCCGTCTCCCAGTTTTGCCGAAAGTCATGTACTTTTTTACGAGCCCTCAATGTAATTTTTGCAAAAAAGTCATAATTTTCTCAGACTTATATCTTGCAAATCGTTCGGAATTTTCATTTACTCTCTGAGGCAAAGTTGTAGCTCTTGTCATAAAGAACAAACATTGTGAACATATAAAATCAAATAAAACTTCATCTTAATTTTTTCATTTCAAGTGGAAATTTTTACATTGTGAAATTGCTCTCCTTCTATTAACGGCACCTGCACGTATACGTGTTGATGATTTATTGATATTACAAATATTAAGTATACGCATAAACAGAAAAATTTTTTGTGTTTTTTTCCGATTTCGATATTGAAAATGAAGTTGTTTTGTTTTATATGTTCGCAATTATTGTCACTTTTAGGTAAAAATTACAACGAGTCCCAAAATCTTTGAGAGCCCATAAAAAAAATACATAACTTTGGGAGACAAGGGTCTTTTGTTTTTTGATCTTTTATAACGTAGTGGTGTCCGCATATGGTTATATTTTTTCGTGTTCCACTGTTTAATTCACTTTGATATGGATTAGTCTATCGACCTTAATGTCAAAGTTGTCGAGATCATTAGTGGTAAAATAAACACGAATGAATATGTATGTTTGCGACAATTTGTGCAGAAATAAATCTACTATGGATCTGTCAGGATTGAAAAGATGCAGAAATTTAAACTCTTCGAGAAACTATAACTAAACTATGCAATATGATGCATATATGAAGCAAATGAATGTACAGAATATGGCGATAAAATGGTAATATCATTAACATAGAAACCAAGCCGCACATGACAAGAAGAATGACTATAGTGAGATCAAATATATGGAAACAGTTACCTTTATTAGCAATATCCGAACAAGTTTAAACTGCAAGAAGTCATAATTGCATGAAAATATAACTTTGAAGCCTGAAGATACTTTCGGAATGTAAGTAACTGAAATCATACATAATAAATGATATTGCTAAACGGTTGACGCAGATTTAGTTTTTTGTTCCGTGAAGCCTCTAAATATTTAAACAATATGTCATAGAATGAATCATAAGCAAATAAGTAACATCGACTAATTAGAGATTATAAAATTGCAAAACAGAAAAAAGTTCAAGCTGTCATTAAAGTTCACGAATGAAAAATAACGACCATTCGTGAACATCAAATATGGAACAATATTTTGGGAAAAGCTGTTGGCAATTGTATTGTTGCAACAAATGTCGACTGTATGGCTTGCTATTTGTGTTTTGTGTAAAAGTCGAGCATAGCAAACATCCTGCGTGCCATAATTTTCCACTAAACTGCTTCTCCTATCCATGTATGTCCTATCTTCCTCTGTTTCTTAACAATATAAAAATACTATCTAGATTTAATACCTGCAATTGCCCCCTTGTTAAGTGATGATGTGTTACTTTTTTACTATTATATACTACATTACATACATACAATATATAGAAGAGAGTTATAGATATCTACTTAAACATAAAAAATATAACTATACAGCAACATATACATACAAACTATTAAGTATATAAACATAAATGCTTGTATGTACTTGCTACTTGTAAAAAAAATGTATTTACAATTTCATAAATAGGAACAGATTTCTACAATTTTAGTGTTTTCTTTCGTATGAAACGAAAAAACAACAACATGAGAATGTATATGAAAATACTATAATACTGAAGCGAACTTACTTATTTTAGAAGCGGCTCCTTAAGTACTTACCACATCGGTTAATGGTACTGAGGAATTTATGGAATTGTTGGTGTGTGAAGTTTCGGGAGTAGTTGTAGTCATAGCTGCTGGGGAGTTTTCTGCAGTTGCCGTCATAACAACCATACTACGTGAATTGGGTATATTGATAACTTCGCTGTAGAGACCCAGAGGACTTAACGACTGTGATGTTTTCATAGCTAAATGATGTTTATGATGATTTTGTTTTGCATGCTGATGATGGGGCTTAAGATTTAACCATATGGCTTTGGAGTCAGGTGAGGTGGTGGATGATTGAGAGGAGAATGTTAGTTCGCAAGGTGTTTCAAATGTATCATTTGTATCGTTTAAATGTGTTGGAGATGGTGGCGGGGTCAGTGTTGAAGAGTCCTTCAACAAATGCGTTGTATCCGAATAACGTTGGGGAGATGAGGATGAATGTTTGCTACTATTCGCCGTCGTTGCTGCCGTAATAGTGGTAACAGATCGATGTTTTCTTTTGGCTACCACATTACCACAACCACCAACAACTGTAGCGGTTTCGGTGGTCTTTTTATAGGGATTACGTGTTGCCTCTGTGACTCTTAGGTTCAGTTGTTGTTTGTTATTAAGATCTGAGAGGCTTATATTATTTTTGAGTAATATTTCTAAATTTTCTATAGAATTTTTATGCGTACCCTTGTCACTCTCCGTCTCCCCGTCCTTTAACTCATCCAGTGCCGTGCGCGGCAGGAAATTCGCCTTGCTCATTAAACTATTACCCTCAGAGGTGTTTTCAATGGAGGAGGAATTATTTTTGGCTATAGTTGGTAGAGTGCCTATAGTTATAACACTTGAACTATTCGATATACACGGCGTTACCGAGGTATTCGAACTCACCGTTGTACCAAAGGAGGATGATATATTGTGTTGTCTACACAGGGATTTACGTCGTTGTGCTGTTAGATTACTCATATTTGAATTGAGATCAATATCGGGTGATAAATCTTCTGATTCCGTTAAATTGCTGCTAACCTGTTTCGATAGCGCCAGCGTATCTGGTGGGCATTTTATGCTCTCTTCCGGTTTAGTGTCCATATTTACAATATCTCCATTTTGGTTGGTTTCTTCTTTTTCCACTGTTGCTGTTTCCATTATAATTTCTGATTGTAGTGATGTTTGATTTTGTATTTTGTCTTCGGGTAATTTACCCTCTAGGAAGTACGTGATCATGGAACCTTTACCTTTGACATTAACTTTACCACGACAAGTTAATTTGAAGCCACGTGGCTTTAGAATTTGATAGGTTTCTTCAGTGACCTTTCGTTGGCGTTAATGGTACGTGTTGCAGCAAAGAATGAAAGTTATAAAGAAGGAATAATAGGAAAATTATACGTGTGAAGGTATAAGGACAATTTTATGTGTATAAGACAAATTTTGCAATAAAAAGTGATGTAAGAACATTACCATCTAAGTTAATTAAAAATGTTTGAACAATTTTGTTTTTTTCTACTTACTTGTATATGATCGACTAAGCCCGTTGAGTCCATGCGTGATGCAACATTTACAGCATTACCCCAGATATCATATTGAGGCTTACGTGCTCCGATTACACCCGCCACAACTGGTCCAATGTTAATGCCTATACAGAAAGAAAGTGAAACGTGAAATTTATGTTTAATGATTTCAAAGATTTTTCTTTTAAGTTCTGGAACTCAAAATTTCGTGGTACAGTTTATCCTTATATATACTTTTATCTTTGAGACTGACCTTAAAGTAACTTGTTCTGTCTCTATTTCTATGGAACCTTGCACCTCCTTCTTATGGAACTTAAGTCTATGGCGTACGTGTATGACGTCTCTGTTACAATATCTGGTTAATATATATATATACTCTATCGGTGAGAGTGGAAACTGCACTCAAATCTAAGTAACTCAAGTACAAATATTGGTCTAGATATGAATTCATCCAAAGTGGTAGCGACCTTATCATCATGCAGAAAAGCTATGGGAAAAACCTGTGGTATAAATCTCATGAATACTAAATAGCTCTTCGACATACCCATACTGTTATACGGTGAACTTGTCTAATGGACATCCCTACGAATGGACGTCTACCGGAAGAGATTTGTTATTTCGATGATAAATTGGTTAACTGTTGATCTAATGACTCAAGATGTTACCTTTAACTCAGCGATTAGACTCAGGACAATCGGTATGTGGCATATGACTCAGTCAGGCCAATGTACCATGAATCGAGCGCTTGCAGCTTGAAAGCGGTAGACATATAAAATATTCGGTGTGCTTTGTTGTCAGTGAGGAACCAACTTTCGCAAGAGATGCCGCGTTGATATTGCCAGGTATCTGTTGATGACCTGGACTCCAGTACAGTCCTACTGTGGAATGTTTCACCATCTCATTTAGGGAGCCCGGTATTCTAGGACCAAGTGTGATGTTGTATAAACGTCACTTATAGCCCTTAGGGCAGCCTAACCAAATCGTTATATATTCGAATATCATCGTTGAATATTCGATAAACCCTGAGCCAATTTGCAGCCCGTTTTATGGATCATAGAAAAGCCTGAAGTACGCTACATTGGGCAGGAAGTTTGAAGGAAGCTCCTGTTCCAGTATGCCATCATCTTTCGATTTGGAGCCAAGAAACAGAAATGATCGATTGAAGCTACCTATAGGCTGGCAAAGTTCATGGGACCGTCATATGACTCATTGCAGTGGTGACTGGCCTCTTACCCTTTGGGCTCCATGCTAGAAGACTGAACCTACTTAGTAATTAACTCTGCAAGAACTGTCAAGACGAAGAGGAAGAATACAGTATTACTCTCTTCTGTCAAATCCCTGCCCTAGCTGAGCATAGATTTAATGTATTAGGAGCCAACTTCGTGCACGATCTAACGGATCTATCAAAGAATAAAATCCTTATTCGTGCGACAGACTGGTTTGGATAGGAATCCAGAGTATTTGGGTCGAAGTGTACTAATATATTGAACCAACTGAGTCCCTAGTGTTAACAGCAATGAACAACCTGCTAACCTAACTTGTTTTAATTTATAGCCAGTACTCGCAGTTGATCATCCGACATGTTTGGATCTAAAACGAAAGCAGACCAAAGTCCGATTGTTTGGAAAATGCCCTAAATTCCTGGGTTTTCGCGAAAACTTAAGGCCAAAGAAAACTCAGTTAAATGGAACTTTTAAAAACTCTTAGGAAAGGAAAACAACTACAACAGAAAATGCAAAAAGGCTCACCAAAAACACATGTTTTTTAAAGAGCGCTTAAATCGGTCCATCTTTTTTGAAAAACCCTTATTGTTTTTTTAATTAAATTTATTTTACAACCTCAATTCCCCAAAAACCACCCTCCCAACTTACCAATTCTCATACGAAAATTATTAAACGAATGCATATTAACTTCTTCGATTTTATCGAACAACTGTAATGCATATTCCGCCATAGCTGTAATATGTTTATAATTCACCAGATCACAAGTCTGAGCTGTTAATCCCGAAGCAGCCATATAAGTAGCACCTGTACTCTTAATCTTTTCAATATAACTAAAGTTACAAAAGAATAATTTATGAATGAAAAAAAGGAACGAAAATTAAATTTATGTCATGAATTATTGTTGTATATAAATTGATTACGTTTTATTTACTATTTGAAGTGTATTGTAGTTTATTATTTATTTTCTTTCTCTCTACTCCACCATCACTTACCGAAAACGTTCTTCACTTAGTAATTCATCAAAATCCGCTATAATTTCATTGAGCAGACGTAAACATTCGACACCCTCGTTATTTCCTTCCAGCTCAACATAGAATTCACTAAAATTTGGTATTGAAGCGAATAAAATACAAACACTATCGCATTGTTCGTGATATAAATCCTGTCAAAAGAAAGTGGAAAGAAAATAATAAAGAAAAATATAAATAAGTTACTATGTGTGTGTATGTAAGTGTGAAAATAATTGTGTATGAAAAAATCTAAATAAATAGAAGTGAAGTAAAGATATAAGTAGCAAAAAAATATGAAGAAGTTGTTTGTACTTCTTTTGTATACTATTAGTATCTACCATCATATGGTAGCAGTTAGGGTGTTCCCAAAACCCACAATATTAAACACTTTTATTTAAATATTATTACAATTTTTGAAAGTTTTATTAGTTTTGAGGTCAATGAACAATGGTTTTCTGTTTTAACCGTTTATAATTTTAAACAAGCTGTTTATTTCATATTCACCGCTCACCCTACCACTTATATGCATTTTCCATATTGTATGAGAATATATAACATGCTAGTCATAGTTAAAATATAATAAAACTTTCTGCATTGACACATAACTGAATGACGTTTATTTAAACTAAAAAAACCCGAATGAAAGAAATAATAAGATGTAACAATTTATTCAGACACAAGTGTTGATTTGTTTGTACGATTACGAGACTAGAACTAGTATAAGAGCTTAAAAAGTGACATTTTAATAATAATCATTGTTAGACTTAAGAAAATATGGTCATGCTAAATTACATAGTAAATGGACACATATATATGCAGAAAGTTTGCTTATGAAGATTCGATAAGTAGAACGTGATTTAGCAAGTTTCAGTTTTTATTTTTATAAAAGGCTATTTAAGAACTTAAGTTGGAATATTAATAACTTAAATGGAATATTTATAATTTAAATTGACTATAGACTAGACTATAGATAAGACTATAGACAAGACTATAGACTAGACTATAGACTAGACTAGACTATAGACTACACTAGACTATAGACTACACTAGACTATAGACTAGACTATAGACTAGACTATAGACTAGACTATAGACTAGACTAGACTAGACTAGACTATAGACTAGACTATAGACTAGACTATAGACTAGACTAGACTAGAACTAGACTATAAACTAGACTATAGACTAGACTATAGACTAGACTATAGACTAGACTATAGACTAGACTATAGACTAGACTATAGACTAGACTATAGACTAGACTATAGACTAGACTATGACTAGACTATAGACTAGACTATAGACTAGACTATAGACTAGACTATAGACTAGACTATAGACTAGACTATAGACTAGACTATAGACTAGACTATAGACTAGACTATAGACTAGACTATAGACTAGACTATAGACTAGACTATAGACTAGACTATAGACTAGACTATAGACTAGACTATAGACTAGACTATAGACTAGACTATAGACTAGACTATAGACTAGACTATAGACTAGACTATAGACTAGACTATAGACTAGACTATAGACTAGACTATAGACTAGACTATAGACTAGACTATAGACTAGACTATAGACTAGACTATAGACTAGACTATAGACTAGACTATAGACTAGACTATAGACTAGACTATAGACTAGACTATAGACTAGACTATAGACTAGACTATAGACTAGACTATAGACTAGACTATAGACTAGACTATAGACTAGACTATAGACTAGACTATAGACTAGACTATAGACTAGACTATAGACTAGACTATAGACTAGACTATAGACTAGACTATAGACTAGACTATAGACTAGACTATAGACTAGACTATAGACTAGACTATAGACTAGACTATAGACTAGACTATAGACTAGACTATAGACTAGACTATAGACTAGACTATAGACTAGACTATAGACTAGACTATAGACTAGACTATAGACTAGACTATAGACTAGACTATAGACTAGACTATAGACTAGACTATAGACTAGACTATAGACTAGACTATAGACTAGACTATAGACTAGACTATAGACTAGACTATAGACTAGACTATAGACTAGACTATAGACTAGACTATAGACTAGACTATAGACTAGACTATAGACTAGACTATAGACTAGACTATAGACTAGACTATAGACTAGACTATAGACTAGACTATAGACTAGACTATAGACTAGACTATAGACTAGACTATAGACTAGACTATAGACTAGACTATAGACTAGACTATAGACTAGACTAAGACTAGACTATAGACTAGACTATAGACTAGACTATAGACTAGACTATAGACTAGACTACAGACTAGACTATAGACTAGACTATAGACTAGACTATAGACTAGACTATAGACTAGACTATAGACTAGACTATGACTAGACTATAGACTAGACTATAGACTAGACTATAGACTAGACTATAGACTAGACTATAGACTAGACTATAGACTAGACTATAGACTAGACTATAGACTAGACTATAGACTAGACTATAGACTAGACTATAGACTAGACTATAGACTAGACTATAGACTAGACTATAGACTAGACTATAGACTAGACTATAGACTAGACTATAGACTAGACTAGACTATAGACTAGACTATAGACTAGACTATAGACTAGACTATAGACTAGACTATAGACTAGACTATAGACTAGACTATAGACTAGACTATAGACTAGACTATAGACTAGACTATAGACTAGACTATAGACTAGACTATAGACTAAGACTAGACTATAGACTAGACTATAGACTAGACTATAGACTAGACTATAGACTAGACTATAGACCTAGACTATAGACTAGACTATAGACTAGGACTATAGACTAGACTATAGACTAGATCTATAGACTAGACTATAGACTAGACTCTAAGACTAGACTATAGACTAGACTATAGACTAGACTATAGACTAGACTATATACTAGACTATAGACAGACTAGAGACTAGACTATAGACTAGACTATAGACTAGACTATAGACTAGACTATAGACTAGACTATAGACTAGACTATAGACTAGACTATAGACTAGACTATAGACTAGACTATAGACTAGACTATAGACTAGACTATAGACTAGACTATAGACTAGACTATAGACTAGACTATAGACTAGACTATAGACTAGACTATATCAGACTATAGACTAGACTATAGACTAGACTAACTATGACTATAGACTAGACTATAGACTAGGACTATAGACTAGGACTATAGACTAGACTATAGACTAGACTATAGACTAGACTATAGACTAGACTATAGACTAGACTGATAGACTAGACTATAGACTAGACTATAGACTAGACTATAGACTAGACTATAGACTAGACTATAGACTAGACTATAGACTAGACTATAGACTAGACTATAGACTAGACTATAGACTAGACTATAGACTAGACTATAGACTAGACTATAGACTAGACTATAGACTAGACTATAGACTAGACTATAACTAGACTATAGACTAGACTATAGACTAGACTATAGACTAGACTATAGACTAGACTATAGACTAGACTATAGACTAGACTATAGACTAGACTATAGACTAGACTATAGACTAGACTATAGACTAGACTATAGACTAGACTATAGACTAGACTATAGACTAGACTATAGACTAGACTATAGACTAGACTATAGACTAGACTATAGACTAGACTATAGACTAGACTATAGACTAGACTATAGACTAGACTATAGACTAGACTATAGACTAGACTATAGACTAGACTATAGACTAGACTATAGACTAGACTATAGACTCGACTATAGACTCGACTATAGACTCGACTATAGACTCGACTATAGACTCGACTATAGACTCGACTATAGACTCAACTATAGACTCGACTATAGACTCGACTATAGACTCGACTATAGATTCGACTATAGACTCGACTATAGACTCGACTATAGACTCGACTATAGACTCGACTATAGATTCGACTATAGACTAGACTATAGACTAGACTATAGACTCGACTATAGACTCGACTATAGACTCGACTATAGACTCAACTATAGACTCGACTATAGACTCAACTATAGACTCGACTATAGACTCGACTATAGACTCGACTATAGACTCGACTATAGATTCGACTATAGACTCAACTATAGACTCGACTATAGACTCGACTATAGACTCGACTATAGATTCGACTATAGACTCGACTATAGACTCGACTATAGACTCGACTATAGACTCGACTATAGACTCGACTATAGACTCGACTATAGATTCGACTATAGACTCGACTATAGACTCGACTATAGACTCGACTATAGACTCGACTATAGACTCGACTATAGACTCGACTATAGACTCGACTATAGACTCAACTATAGACTCGACTATAGACTCGACTATAGACTCGACTATAGATTCGACTATAGATTCGACTATAGACTCGACTATAGACTCGACTATAGACTCGACTATAGACTCGACTATAGACTCCACTATAGACTCGACTATAGATTCGACTATAGACTCGACTATAGACTCGACTATAGACTCGACTATAGACTCGACTATAGACTCGACTATAGACTCGACTATAGACTCGACTATAGACTCGACTATAAACTCGACTATAGACTATAACTACATTCTGGTCTATTATCTGGACGTTTTTTAAGTCTGCATTATCTTATTCTTTAATGTGAATATGTTGGTAATTAAAATATTTCGGATTTAGCTACTACGTGATACCTCATATCGCTGACCCTTATGTGGGACCTCTGTGTAGAGAATCATTCATAACATGTACTCACTATTTTGTAATAAGAAAAGAAATCCCAAGTTGCCAAAATCACATTAAAATCTCTGTTTGTTTGTGTAGTACATCAATTCCAATAGCTACTTACTTCAACCAACTACATTGCATTTCACACTTAACTTTATCTTACTCACCTATAATAACTTTTAAAAATAAAAGTAAAAAATTTCCAACTATAAATAAACTTACATCAATATTTTTATCACGACTCAGAAAATGTTCTGCCACATGTACGGGCAAAATGTTTTCCAACAGTTTGCGATTGTACGCTTGTAAGTGTTCCATGTCTTCCTTTTCCTCTGCAAGAAACAGAAAGAAAATAGTCAGTATTTTTTTGCATGAAATAATAATATTTTTGTTTTCTTATTCATGAATTTCCAATACTTCATTTTTGTTACGTTTTGTTTTATTTTAAGTTGTTCTTTAAAAAAAAAAAAAAACAACTGCATTGTAAAATAAAAAAGTATATAAATATAATAAAGTTTTTACGTGCAATTCACTTTATTTATTGTTCTACGTTTTCATTCAGTTGCTATATTCATTGTAAGGAATGAATTTAAATAATATTAAATTATTAGTAGTACTTGTTTGCATTGTTCTTTAAATGGCTGCAATAAAGTCAAAAGTGTATTGCAAAATATTGTCAATAAATTTTGCTGTATTAAAATTTCAAAAAGTTGTGTTAAGGAATGCATTCATTTAACAATGTTTATATCTTTTAAACTCTAAATTACTCTTTTAGAAACTGTATCCTGGTTTTGGTTTCAATGATGCTATACAATTCTTAAAATTTCGGGGAATATGTGCTTAGACCAAAACCTACTTTTAAATGGAAATTTTACTTTATAATATGGTTTTGTCGATCTTAATGTGAATCAAACCATAATATAAATCCTTTATATTCAAAAGAAATTTCACAACTCGAATACCACACTAGTCGTCTTCATACTTCCCACAATTTTATTTAATTTCCCATTATTTACATTAAAGTTTCACTCTAACAATCTAACCAACTACACAGACGATACAACCAACATTCCTTTAACTCAACTCAATACAAAACAAAAATATTCAATGTTGCAATGACACTTTGCTTGCTACGCACAACTTAATTCAATTTAAGTCAAGATGTTGGTGGAACAAAACTTGTTGAAGAAAACGAAAGCAAAAATAGAATAGAAAACAAGAAAAATACAAAAAAATAACATAAAGATGGAAATAAAAAATAATAGAGACATTGATTCTATTTCCGTTAAGTTTTTATTTTATTTTGTTGTTGCCACACAATGGAGGTCTTTTTTTAATTCAATCTCGCTGTTGTAATGTTAAAGAATAATATTTATGCTGTCAAGATGTTTCCATTTCTTTTGTGCTTTTTTTCGGTTTCAAGGTTAATTTAACAGATTGTTCGAAAAATTTAATGTAGTTCAAGGTTAGGAAAATGCTAAATTCAAGTAAAAACTGGATCTACTCTAAAAGGAGTTTTTGGTGACAAATCTGATTTTAAGTGAAATTTTTGATTTTCAGTGAAAATCCAAAGATTTTTAGTGAAAAATCATATTTCTAGTGAAAAATCGTATTTCTAGTGAAAAATCGTATATATTGTGAAAAATCAGATTTTTAGTGAAAAATCGTATTTCTAGTGAAAAATCGTATTTCTAGTGAAAAATTGTATTTATAGTGAAATATCGTATTTTTAGTGAAAAATCGTATTTTTAGTGGAAAATCGTATTTTTAGTGGAAAATCGTATTTATAGTGAAAAATCGTATTTATAGTGAAAAATCGTATTTTTAGTGAAAAATCGTATTTTTAGTGAAAAGTCGTATTTTTAGTGAAAAATCGTATTTTTAGTGAAAAATCGTATTTTTAGTGAAAAATCGTAATTCTAGTGAAAAATCGTATTTTTAGTGAAAAATCGTATTTTTAGTGAAAAATCGTATTTTTAGTGAAAAATCGTAATTCTAGTGAAAAATCGTATTTTTAGTGAAAAATCGTATTTTTAGAGAAAAATCGTATTTTTAGTGAAAAATCGTATTTTTAGTGAAAAATCTTATTATAGTGAAAAATTGGATTTTTAATGAAAATCAGATTTTTATTAAAAAATCGGAATTTTTTGGTAAAAAAATCGGAACATTTTTGGTAAAAAATCGGAACATTTTTGGTAAAAAATCGGATTTTTTAGTAATTTTGGCGAAAAAAAAATTCCCTCAAATAATCAGATCTTAAGAAAAAATCGGTTCTGGTTCGTTCCTTAGGACGTTAATTTTATGAAAGCCAAAGATATCTTATGACACCAAATATATACTAGTTGGACTTCGACTATACTCCAAACTGTACTAGAAGCTACTCTACTCTCTTGTCTAGAGTACAGACTATAGATTAGTCTTTAATCGTAACTATAGACTTGTCTATAGTCTGGGGAATAGACTAACCTCTAGTCTGGACTATAGGCTAGTACCTAGTCAAGAGTGTACACTAGTCTCTTGTCTGGACTATAGTCTAGTCTGAAGTCTGGAATGTAGTCTAGTCTCAAGTCTGTACTATAGACTAGTCTTTAGCCTGGACTATAGTTTAGTCTCTAGTCTGTACTTTATTTTAGTCTCTAGTCTGAATTATAGTCTAGTCTCTAGTCCGGACTATATTTTAGTTTCTAGCCTGGACTAGTCTTTAGTCTGTACTAGTATAGACTATAGTTTAGTCTCTAATCTCGACTATAGTCACTACTCTGGACTATTCTCTCTAGTCTGGTCTATAGTCTTGACTCTAGGCTGCACTAGAAACGACTCTCAAATTTGGATTATGGAGTACTTATAGAGTCTGGATTATAGACTGGTCACTAGTCTGGATTTTTGATTATTCACTTGTCTGGATATTTGACTATTCTCTAGTATGAAATATAGACTATTCTCTAGATTGGACTATACACTAATCCTAATTCTGCTATATACACTAGTCTATAGTCTACACCCTAATATATAGCTTTTTTTTTATGTAAACTAGACTCTAGTATGGACTATATACTACTCTCTAAACTATTGAATCGTGACTATTCCAGATTAGGGAGTAGTATATTTTCCAGACTAAAGAGAAGTTTATAATTCAAACTGGACTAGTATGTAGTCCCGACTAGAAATTATTAGAATAGAGACTAGTATAAATCGTAGAATTGGGATTAATATATAGTCCAGACTAGAGAAAAGTCTACAATTCATACTACAGACTAGTCGCTAGTCTGAAATATGAATTACTCTCCAGTTTGGATTTTAAAGTTCTCTCTACTCTGGACAATATACTGCTCCCTAGTCTAAACTATACACTAGTCATGATCCTATAGTTTACGAAGCAGTATATAGTCCAATACTAGAGTCTAGTTTACAATCCATAAAACAAATCAAATATGTTACTCCCCTAATACTTATACACCTTTAATATACTAGCATGTACTCACCCGTTGCTTGCAACTTCCAAATGAAATCCAAACGATACGTTGCCTCTGTTTGATGGCTGTGAAAAATCAATGCAACCATAAAAGCAAAAAGGAAAATTGAATCAATTATATAACGCAATAGTGCTTCTTCATTGCTAATGCATTTGATAAGGAATAGAAAAGTAAGAAATGCATCGATAAATGCCATCATCATCAATAACATTCATGTGAACGCCCCCCGTTTAACAGGCCATAAACAAATGCAATTGCATAGATTTCGTTTTTGCAATGGGAACAGGTGTACGATACGCATACATTTAAAATTGTTTTTAAGTGGTTGAGTAGTTGTGGTATTTCATTCATTGTTCCATTAGCATAAGAAAAAAAAAAGCACGACAAGGCACACAGGAAAACCAATCATCCATTCGTTCAGTGAGGGAAAGTAAAATAAATTGAAATAGAAAGAAAAATAGAAGTAAAAATATTTATTAATAAATTTTACAATGAAATCATATTGTTGTTGTGCATTATTAAATTGTGTCAAGAATTTTAAATTATATTATAGCATTTATGTACATAATGTAATGTTGTGGTGGTGGAGGACAGTTGTAAAGTGGATTGTTTTTCATTAAGTAACTTTTTAATGTTAACAATTCTGATTAAATTTAACTTAAAGAGTTATCTTCTGTCAATAGGATGATTTGTTAAAAGAATAAGATTCTAGAAGTGAAAGAAGGAAGGTGAATTTAAGAAAATAACCCAATTTCGATTTCGAGTATTTAGTCTGAGCTATAGACTAATATTTAGTCTAAAATTATAGACTATTTAGCATGGACTATAGACTAGTGTCTAGTGTGGACAACATACTAGTATCTACTCTATAAACTATAAACTAGAATATAGTTTGAACTACATACTAGTATCTAGTCTGGAATGTAAACTACTCTCTAGTCTGGATTGTAGACTAATCTCTTCTCTGGGCTATAGAATAGTATCTAGTCTTAACTATGGACTATAGAATGGTCTCTAGTCTGGACTTTGGACATTTATCTAATCTGGACTACAGACTAGTCTCCAATCTGGACTACAGTCTAGTATATACTCTGTACTATAAACTAAACTCTAGTCTGAACTACAGACTAGTATCTAGTCTGGACTGTACTACTATTCTCTAGTATGTATAGTAGACTAATCTCTACTAGGGTGATCGACTCGATTTTTCAACCGGTTTTAAAACCGGTTTTTTCTGCTTTACCAGTGTCGGTTTTTTCTAAATGTTGATTTTTCGAATATCGAATAACCCGGTTTTTTACTTTTTAAAAACCGGTTTCGAATACTTTCATTTGCTTTGTATTCAAAGATTATTTAAATGAAATTTTGAAGTAAATAATAATACAGCCCGTCTAAATTTTAAAAATATTCGAGTCGAGGAACTAGGGTATAATTTTCTAAAGCACCTTTGGTTAAACTTTTTTGATTTTCCTAATTATTTAAAAAATTTTATTTGTAAAATTGATAACTGTTTGATAAAATTTTATCAATCTTAAGATTATATTCCAATTACAATAATTAATTTACGGCTGAAATATTATTATTAATTTTAAAAATATTCGAGTCGAGGAACTAGGGTATAATTTTCTAAAGCACCTTTGGTTAAACTTTTTTGATTTTCCTAATTATTTAAAAAATTTTTTTTGGAAAATTGATAACTGTTTGATAAAATTTTATCAATCTTAAGATTATATTCCAATTACAATAATTAATTTACGGCTGAAATATTATGGAAGTGTTGGTTGGAATGCCTATGAAAATTTCCTAAACAGGGCAGAATAAGCTAGGATTACATAGTACCTTATGTTTAACAGAAGTGCCCACTATTTTCCTAATTTTTTATATTAAAGAAATAATGTAAATCAGACGACTAGATCTAAAGTTATAATCTGTTAAACTGTTAAAAATCATTTCGGGCCATGTTTTATCAATCAAATTTAAACATAAACATTAATTTTTTCAAATTAAAATATATTTTTTTATTTATAATGAAAAACCGGTTAACCGATTTTTTCTGAATTTGAAAAATATCAACCGGTTTTTTTGAAATGCCAACTATTCGAACTATTCGAAAACCGGTTTTTGGAAAATGTCGAATAATCGATCACCCTAATCTCTACTCTTGGCTATAGACAAGTATCTAGACTTAGCTTTGGACTACACACTGGTCTTTAGTCTGGACTTCAGACTAGTATTTAGTCTGGCCTACAAACTGGGCTACAGACTTGTCTATAAACTGAACTACAGACTAGTCTCCAATCTGGTTTACAGACTGGTATCTACTCTGGAATATAAACTAGAATCTAGACTGAACTACAGACTAGTATCTAGTGTAGAATCTAGACTATTCTCTATTCTGGATTGTAGACACATCTCTACTCTGGGCTATAGAGTAGTATCTAGTCTTAACTATGGACTATAAACTGGTCTCTAGTCTGAACTTCAGACTAGTATATAGTCTGACCTACAGACTATTCTCTATTCTGGATTACAGACTCTCTACTCTGGTATATATGTATGTATAATAGTGACTAGCTTATAGTCCAGACTAGTCTATAGTTCAGGCAAGAGACTAGGGTATAGTTCTGACTAGACTATAGTCCAGACAAGACACTGGTCTACATTTCAGTTTATAGTCTACACTAAAAATTAGAATAGGTTATACTAGAATCCCGACTAGAAACTAGTCCGTAGTTCAGATTGAAGCAATTCTATTTTCCATACTAGACAGCAGTCTATAGCCCAGAGTAAGAGACTAGTCTATAATCCAGGCTAGAGAATAATCCACAGTTCAGACTAGATACTAGTCTATAGTCCAAACTATGAGCTATTGATACGGTATATATCAAATAAAGTAAAAAAATCATTTAGATGATGTTTATCGATTCGTTCCTGTAATATCCCACAACAGATTTGATAATATTTTTAAGTTAAAAATTTAACTTTTATTTATTCTATACAATTATTTTATACAATTATTCTGCTTCATTTCAGACTATGAGCTATTGATAAGGTCTATATCAAATAAAGTAAAAAATCATTTAGATGATGTTTATCGATTCGTTCCTGTAATATCCTACAACAGATTTGATCATTTTTTTAAGTTAAAAATTTAACCTTCAAACACTTAACATTTGAAAAACATTTCAAAAACCTAACATTTACACGTCCCAAACAATTATTCTGCTTCATTTCTGTTATTTAATTTTTAGTCCTTTGGCCTCATTAATAAAATATTTCACACAGCTCACGTATAAATAAATAATAAAAAATGCTCTTATTTCCAATTGCCAATTCTATATAAACGAATTATGTTAAAAGAGGAAGATACTTTACAATGTCTACAAACGACATGAAATATTTTTATTTACAACCTATTGACCCTGTGCTTACACCTAAAAACCCACCAGCCAACACTTCACTTGCAACAACAACAAGTTTATGTTTCATTTAACATGTTTTTATGTGTTACGGCGGGAAAATTTTATATAAAAGAAATAAACTTCAACTAAAAAAAGTTTAACTATAAATAAAATAAAATGTACCATCTTAGTAAGTATATGTGTTAAGTATATGTATGTGTTAAAAAGCAAAAGTTAACTGAGGGGGGAAAAACTTACTCTAACATAAAATGAATTTCCTCCTGAACGAGAAAATAAATGGAAAATCCAATGTAATAAGCCGAAGCCATCAACAATAAAATTGACTTCAACAAGATGCGTAGAACTTGATAAGTGGCACAGGTCATCATGGAGAGTAATGTCAGCAACAAAAAGGTCTAAATCAAAAGATAAAGATTACACGACATAAACAAAACCAAAATGAAAACGAGAAGAATGAAGAAAAGAAGTGGATAAAATATTATATTATTATTTATGTTATTTCTTTATATTTTATAAAGTACATAATAAGTGTAACATACTGTAACTGTGCGTGACAGCGACAGGTACCAGTTGTTGCTGCTGTTGTTGTTCTTGTAAGTGTACTTACATTAATGGCTAAATAATAATCACAGTTAAAGTATTTGAAATTTGCACCTGCTGTTGCTTCATCGGTGGGTGGTATTGTTGTTGCTAACAATTTTATTGTATCTTCATAATTTATATCATCTACAAATAATGATGTATTATTGTTGCTGCTAGTACTTTTACTAATGCTATTACTGTTGTTGTTATTTATGCTGCTAAATATGCTGTTGCCATCCTCAGATGTAATCAGACTTGTTGGCGTTGTAAAATTAAGTACAATTTCATGAAACTGAAAGAGAGAGAAAAAGAAATTAATGATATTTAATAATTATCTAATAATTTATTAAGATATAGGACTAAATAAGTAAATAAGACTGAAATGAACCATTTATCATAACTAAAATATACCCTGCAGTAAGAATACTACAAATTTTAACACGTAATAAAAACTTCTAGTTTAATTGTAGTTCAGTTCTAATTCTGTTCTAGTTCAGTTCTAGTTCAGTTCTAGTTCAGTTCTAGTTCAGTTCTAGTTCAGTTCTAGTTCAGTTCTAGTTCAGTTCTAGTTCAGTTCTAGTTCAGTTCTAGTTCAGTTCTAGTTCAGTTCTAGTTCAGTTCTAGTTCAGTTCTAGTTCAGTTCTAGTTCAGTTCTAGTTCAGTTCTAGTTCAGTTCTAGTTCAGTTCTAGTTCAGTTCTAGTTCAGTTCTAGTTCAGTTCTAGTTCAGTTCTAGTTCAGTTCTAGTTCAGTTCTAGTTCAGTTCTAGTTCAGTTCTAGTTCAGTTCTAGTTCAGTTCTAGTTCAGTTCTAGTTCAGTTCTAGTTCAGTTCTAGTTCAGTTCTAGTTCAGTTCTAGTTCAGTTCTAGTTCAGTTCTAGTTCAGTTCTAGTTCAGTTCTAGTTCAGTTTCTAGTTCAGTTCTAGTTCAGTTCTAGTTCAGTTCTAGTTCAGTTCTAGTTCAGTTCTAGTTCAGTTCTAGTTCAGTTCTAGTTCAGTTCTAGTTCAGTTCTAGTTCAGTTCTAGTTCAGTTCTAGTTCAGTTCTAGTTCAGTTCTAGTTCAGTTCTAGTTCAGTTCTAGTTCAGTTCTAGTTCAGTTCTAGTTCAGTTCTAGTTCAGTTCTAGTTCAGTTCTAGTTCAGTTCTAGTTCAGTTCTAGTTCAGTTCTAGTTCAGTTCTAGTTCAGTTCTAGTTCAGTTCTAGTTCAGTTCTAGTTCAGTTCTAGTTCAGTTCTAGTTCAGTTCTAGTTCAGTTCTAGTTCAGTTCTAGTTCAGTTCTAGTTCAGTTCTAGTTCAGTTCTAGTTCAGTTCTAGTTCAGTTCTAGTTCAGTTCTAGTTCAGTTCTAGTTCAGTTCTAGTTCAGTTCTAGTTCAGTTCTAGTTCAGTTCTAGTTCAGTTCTAGTTCAGTTCTAGTTCAGTTCTAGTTCAGTTCTAGTTCAGTTCTAGTTCAGTTCTACTTCAGTTCTAGTTCAGTTCTAGTTCAGTTCTAGTTCAGTTCTAGTTCAGTTCTAGTTCAGTTCTAGTTCAGTTCTAGTTCAGTTCTAGTTCAGTTCTAGTTCAGTTCTAGTTCAGTTCTAGTTCAGTTCTAGTTCAGTTCTAGTTCAGTTCTAGTTCAGTTCTAGTTCAGTTCTAGTTCAGTTCTAGTTCAGTTCTAGTTCAGTTCTAGTTCAGTTCTAGTTCAGTTCTAGTTCAGTTCTAGTTCAGTTCTAGTTCAGTTCTAGTTCAGTTCTAGTTCAGTTCTAGTTCAGTTCTAGTTCAGTTCTAGTTCAGTTCTAGTTCAGTTCTAGTTCAGTTCTAGTTCAGTTCTAGTTAAGTTCTAGTTCAGTTCTATTTCAGTTCTAGTTCAGTTCTAGTTCAGTTCTAGTTCAGTTCTAGTTCAGTTCTAGTTCAGTTCTAGTTCAGTTCTAGTTCAGTTCTAGTTCAGTTCTAGTTCAGTTCTAGTTCAGTTCTAGTTCAGTTCTATTTCAGTTCTAGTTCAGTTCTAGTTCAGTTCTAGTTCAGTTCTAGTTCAGTTCTAGTTCAGTTCTAGTTCAGTTCTAGTTCAGTTCTAGTTCAGTTCTAGTTCAGTTCTAGTTCAGTTCTAGTTCAGTTCTAGTTCAGTTCTAGTTCAGTTCTAGTTCAGTTCTAGTTCAGTTCTAGTTCAGTTCTAGTTCAGTTCTAGTCTCTCAAGTTTCTAACACTTCCTCCCAGACAAAAATCATGAGACACAAACAAATTTAAATGTGTTGAAAAAACGTGCAATATTTCTTTGACATTTTTTTCGTTAACCAACTGTCATTAAATGTCATTACCGAAACGACTTGTCCTTTTTTGTATGTTTGTATGTGCACGTATATTTAATATTTTTTTGTTTTTATTTCCTTTTTTAGTTCGCTCATTTCTCTTTACGACTTCTTCAACAGCCTGTTGATAGTCGAAATTTTTACATTTTTATGAGCTTTTAGTTTATACATGAAAATCTTTGTGTGATATTTTGTCTGTTTTTACCTTTTTCACGACTTTTAAAAGACATCCATCTGACATTTGAGGGGATGTCAGTGACTTGTCATGGCAAAAATAAAAAAACAGGTTTGTTGTAAAGCAGTACATATAACATTAAATATGATATCGTATTTAAATTATTTCTTAACTTGCACTTTATTTTAATCAAATTTAAATTAAATTTAATCTCAAATGTATCTAAGTAGCGTAATTTAATGTACATTTATGTTTCTTCCTGAAATAGGAGCAAAAAATATATTATAACTTTTTATAATAGGTACAAGTCATTTTAAAACGACATTGTGGTTTCTCCAAAATAATTCATTAAAATTTAAATTTAATATAAGTTAATATTCACATATTAATTATTTTAAAATTAAATTACAAAAAAATTAGCAGAACACTTTACTTACAGAATTAGAAAATTGAACTAGAACTGCACGAGTCCTTGTTATAGTTAAGATCTTTAAAGATTAATTTTTCGAAGCTTTAAACAGCCGACAAAACAAGGCTGCTGCAGGTTATTTTAAAAATTAAGCATTACACTACAACATTAATATCTTTATAAGGACTAATTTAAAAACTTTCTTTTATTTACTTTTATATGTGTTTGTTATTAAGTTTTTTTTTTTTTAATGTAAATATGTATAAAATGGGAGCAAATACACTGAAAAGTTGTATAAAAAGTTTTTGGGTTAAACCACCTTGTTTTTCTGAGAGACATCCTTTCAGAAAGAAAAAAGAAACATGAAAGTAAGCAAGAAAAGTTAATAAAAACTTTGACTTTAAAAAGGTGCTACAAATTGATAAAGATTTTAAGGAAAAAAAAACACAGAAACACTTTTACTGGTTTGATTATGATGTTTTTTTTTTTTTAGTACATATTTAGAGCTTTAGGGTTGTTTGAACTTTTGCAAAAATGTCTAAGAAATTTAACAATAAAACTCCTCCCACCTTTTCTCAAATGTTTAGTGAAAGTCACGTTCTGGTGGCTTTTAAAATGCGTGTAAACGTTTGTATTTTGGTGTCAATTAAAAATTTGTTTTGAAATGTTGTTGTTTGTGCTAAACGATTAAAATTTATTAAAATGGAAATTGTTTTGTAAATAGTTGCTTTGTTACCTTTTCCTTACAAAAAGGTGGATGTGAAAATTTAATGAGTAAATAAATCTTAAACTTAATTTCCTTTTTTTAATAAGTTATTTAACATTTATTTAATATGAAAAGTTATTTACTTTTAATTAGGATTTAAAGGAAATCTAAAAAAATCTTTTTTATAATTACTTAAACACGTTTTTGGAGAAACAACTACAAGCGTATGAGTGATATTTAATTATTTATGAATTAAAATTAAATATACGCCTTAATAAATAAGTTTGTAAACTTCTATGTAAAATATTAGATTTTTATTAGAATTGCTATTCCCACAAGTGTTTATAATTAAGAACTACAACATATTGAAGTAATTACAATAAACATACATTAATTATTAAAGAAAACTTGTCACTTAAATTTTTAAACTTATAGCTAAAACTCATTCAAATGGAAATTTTTAATACTCGCACAACATTTATAATACCTATTACGTTTTACTATACATAATTACATTTATACAGCTGCTAAAATGCACCCAAAGGATACATCTTTATATAGCTGAATACACTTTCATTTTCCAATT